GGGGGGGGGGTGTTTCGATGGCGCGCGCCCGTGAGGTGTCACGCGCTGCAGGCGGGTCGGGGTGGCGGGGGTGGCGGCGACCTTGTAGCTCGCAGCGCGCTGCGTGCAGCTCCACGCTGGTGGCAGCAGCAGGGAGTCTGGGGCCCGGGCCATACCACTCAGCGACATCACAAATGGAGGCGTGGGCCAACGCGCCTTCAAAACAGCCAGGTCGAGGCATCGCCGTCCGGCAGCCGCCGGACAGGCCCACGTTTGCGTGCGGTGCCCACAGCAGCAGGGCAATGGTGCGGCAGCCAACGCGGCCCGCCCCCGCACCTCTCCCCCTGTCATCTCGCGCGCCCCCAGGCGTTTGCCGAGGTGCTGGCCAACAACGAGACGTGGGACGCGCCCATGGACCAGACCTACGAGCTGCTGGGCATTGAGGCCGAGAGCGTCAACACCCTGGAGGATTACCTCAAGGTGGGAGGGGAGGGAGGGTATGTGTGGAGGGCGGTGGTGGTGGTGGGTGTGACGGATACTGTCGCGACTGGCTTGACAGCGGCATCACGGCGCTGCGCGTTGAGGCGCTGTGGTATGAGTGGGCTGGCGTAGCCTTTGGGAAGATGGGGTGTGCAACCAGGGCGCAATGTGGATGCCTTCTAGCGGTTGTGTTGGTGGGGCGCACTGTGTCGCTGGGCTGGCGCACCTGCCGGCAGCACTGAGCAGCTGTGCAAGTAGCGCCGCCATCTGGTGATGTTGCTTCCTGTAGAGATTGCAACACAGAATCGTGTTGTGGACGCTGGTGCAGTCTCAACAGTCTGAATGATCCCAAGGAGTTACTGTATCCCAAAGAGTTACGATCCTGATCTCGACCCCATCTCAACCTCTGACTTCCGCCCCTCAGGAGTACTTCAACAAGATCATGAAGCGCCTCAAGGAGGTGGGCGCTTCCACTGATCGCACCAACTTCTACGTCTGAGCCGGCAGCGGCGTGCGATGACATCACCATGCCATCACCTAGCGCGGCTCGGACGGGCTCCTGTGAGGCAAATCTTGCGGGCAGGGCGCTGCCCGCCCAGAGCTGCTGCTGTGCTGTCGCGACGGCTCAAACTGGCGGCGGCTGTGCGGATGCCAGTGCGCGCGGCAGCTGCTGTAGAGGAGGCGAGAGAAAAACCGATTTTGGGTCAGACGTAGCCGCCCATCGGCGGTGGCTGTAGCAGCGCGCTCTTTTTTTTGATGCTGTGAAGGGCCCCATTGCAATGGGCCGCAGTCGTGTCGTCTGGCATGGAGAGGACCCCTCCGCCGCCCGCGTGGGCCGGCGAGTCGCAACAACTGACGCCACCACCACACAGTGTTTGATCGAGTGGCAGTGACGCTGTGCGAGCATTATCTCTTCTTTCCTCTCTACCTGGGTCTGTTGTGGTCCCCCAGCTGGCCGTGTTTACTTTGGGCAGCTTGCCTGCTTTCTATCGTGCTCGCCCGGCACGTTTCAACCCACGTGCTGTGTAATCGTGAATAGTCCATGGGCAGAACAGTGCGGCCCCATGCAATATCCCCAAAAGAAGGGGGCTGGAACTGTGAAAGCAGGTGTGAGCCAAGCGCTGACATGAGTCAGAGTGCCATCCTTTCGGCACCTCAACAAACCTCTCATGTTGTGTCATGACACTTATCGCTGTTGCTTCAACCCCTGCCCGATGTCTTCATGCAGGATGCCGCATGCATGCCTACTTTGCTCTGATTACACAAACACCTTCAAGTATCAAGGACCAGGGCACAGCCCATGGTGTTGTATACAAGGCGAATAGCTGGCCAAAGGCCGCCGAGAGGACCCATATTGCTAAGGGAGGGGGTTTCAAAACCAGGAGACACAAGGCAAAGCACAACAGAGTACTCAACCAGTATGCGCACAAGGAAGGAGGCATGAGGAGCTGCACGCAGTTGCGGCTGCACCTAAGCAAAATCAACGGCGAACCTCACAAGCCAAGACCAGTCAACAATCCTGACCGCCCCTATGGCAATGGCCTGTGGGGGCAGCCATATGAAACAATCACCACCTCTCGCAATATCCCACCAAAGCGCTGCTCTAGATTAGTGACATGAGTCACAACTGTGTTTTTGCAATGCTCTCCAACGCCCCCAACTTGCGGCTATGAAACCAAGTCCAGCCGCCCGGTTTCAATCCAAGTACGATCTGATTCAAACTCGAAAAATAGGATCGGATCCCTCAACCTAGATCTGCCTGATGACCGTCGGCTCCACCCACTTGGGCTCCGCCGGGCCGCCCTCGTGGAAGATCTCCTCTGAGAAGCTGCCGTGAAGCCCCGCAGGCAGCAGGTGCGGCATGTGGATGGTTGCCACTGGGCCGGCCCCCAGGGCGCGGGCATCCAGGATGGCCAGGTCCCCCTTGCCGGTGGCGGCGTTGTGGACAGCCACCAGCACGTAGCCGTCATCCTCAGCGGTTGAGCCTAAAGAATGACAGTGTGTGTGTGTGTGTGTGTGTGTGTGTGTGTGTGTGTGTGTGTGTGTGCAAACGTGTGTGAGCGTGCGCGTAGGTGTGTGTGACCGCGCCCGAGCTCACATGCAATGCCATGCAAGCTTTGAGCCCGGCGACCCAAATGCACGGCACTTCCGCCAATTCTGCGCAAGCATGCGCGCACATGTCGTGCTCGTGTGTGTTCTCACATTGTTGCCCGCCACCCACCCGCCCTCGCCGGCAAGCACTGATTTTCTCCCCCTTTGCCACCAAAACAAGCACAAACTATCACGTGAGCTGTCCTCCTCGTCACCCCCCATCCGATGGGAGAGCCCCCCAGGCCACCCACCCTGACGCGGCACAAACAGCGGCTCGTTGACGATGCAACGCGGGCCAAAGCTCCAGCTGTCCACCGCCACAGATGCCGGGTCAAAAGTGCCGTCCAGCCCAGCAGAGGGGTCAACGCTGACCTTGACCACGGACTGGGGGGGCGGGCGGGTGGGGGTCAGAGGGCAGTTGACACAGATGTGGTGAGTTCAGGGTGGAGATGTGGCGTAGTGGATCACGCCAGCAGGCTGTCAACGCCGCATCAAATCTGCTCGTCTGGTTGCTAGTGA